ACAGCTACCTTGTGGTAAAGTTCATAAGCCGGCTTCGGATCTAGGTAGATCTCTCATAGTAGTTCACACATGTTGACGGTGGTTGATGCTCCCCTGCTGACAAGCTATTCACCGTGACAGGTCTGTTCCCAGGCTACCTGTGGACTGCCTGTTGAAATTCCGTGTGACCCCTTTTATAGCGTTTTTTATGGCTTAACAGGCTCGAAAAACGAAGCGAGTATAATTAGGAGGGAAGCATTTTTATTGGATGAAAAATAGAACACTTTAAATATTATTTTATTTTTCGACTGGAACACGTGTGTCGGGAATATTTGTAAATGAAGATAATGGTCATTTTGTGACCGGGTTTTGTCCCATTCACATCCGGCTCTCGCTCTTGTGTATTTGCCTGTAAATCAGCCGAGATATGTCTTATTTTATTTTATAACAGTGGAGAAGTTTATTTTCACGCAACCAACACAAATAATACTTTCTAATATATACATATTTTTCCCAATAACCAGCTCCTCCGCAACGTATCCCCAACTAGGTTAAAACAATATAGACTAACACATAAATAATACTGTATCCTCATCAGCCTAACTAAGACTACATTCTGTAAGATGCATATATATATATATATATATATAGGATGAGTCAAAAGACGCGCACCATAGGAGTTAATTAATTAATCTTGTTTTAAATATCTAAATTGTTTTGATATTTCCTTATTTTTACAGAAACAATTTTGACGATGTAATATGGATCTTAAAGAAAGAATTAAATATTGTAGAATTAGATTTCTACATTTTCTGTTTTAAACCTGTTAAAAGAGGATCACAGCTACGTATTCTTAGTTTGGGCTGAACCCATTAAAATCGGCTCCAGAGTTCAATACGAAACAATGCTTTCTGATTGGTCCATAAATAATAATGTTATGTTTCTGCCTAAACCCGCCCGGTTGACCTCGAGTTGACCTGTTCGTTCAACGTGCCAGAAATTGATAAACATTCTTTCGAGCCTCCCACATAATCAAGAAAATTCACAAATATGAAACTTCGACACGACTTAATGAGTCCTTAAAATAATCAACTCGTCACATGACTCCATGAAATCCATCTTCCTCGCTGAAAGTTAATTTTTATTAACATCAACCCGGCTTGTGGAATTGAATTTCTTTTCAACATCAACTCATCTAGTGACGAATTCAACCAAGACGAGATTCAGAAACCAATTCATTCAATATCTTAACTACGTAAAGGAAATCGTAACTATATCAGTCGAAGTGAGACAACTCTACATTGAGTCATGCAATCTATTTCATTCAATTACACCGTCAATATAAACTGTTTAATTCCTTACCAGATATATACCATTACACCTTTTATATTACACTTGATCACACAACTAAGAACTCTAAAGTTTTAAACAACTTTTTTATATCGTGTGTACTTGTTGCTATATAAAAATATTTTCTGTTAAAACGAATATCTGCCTATTTGATTATTTCTCTTGTTGTTGCCTTTGTTGTATTTGATTTAGTAAAAATAGTTGAGGGTCAGTTTAATTTGTATTTTGTTACCGATACAGATTGGCTAACCGACTACAATATAAATGCAGTAAAATGACAGACGTGTTAATGAATCACGCAGTCACAGAATTGAAATGTGTTTTGAAAAAAGAAGAAGGGTTTAGCATCCCGCTATCACCTTTTTTTATCAATATCAATTTTCGTACAAAAAGTGGATCACAGGGCTTATTCAGCTTAGTAAATATTTTCAGAAAACCTCAACTTCTGATTGGTCACTTAATATTTAAATCATGCCCAAATATCAATATCAATTTTCGTACAAAAAGTGGATTACAGAGCTTATTCAGCTTAATGTATATTTTCAGAAAATCTCTATTTAATAACATCGACCTAGTTCTTGACCTGACCAAAAAGATAATTCCGCCAAAATCTATCAAGCTTCTGTGAGCCAATCACGTGACCAAAGTTAGCAATAAAATATGAAACGTCTTTCAATCTTCGACAGTGCACCGATCGGAATCCCTTGAACTCGTCACACAGTTCCAGGCTTTACGTTAAAGTTCCTTAACATGATTCCAGCCTGAGAGAACGCTCATTCACACAGCAATATTTTATGACGAACAATCAACTCAAGTTTTCCACATTCAACTTAATACACGAATCTTTTTCATACGCTTTCAAGTTCAACGTTAATTATTTCAATTAACATAAACACAGCTTGTTAAGAACAACTTACCCCAACTAGAATATTCTCTTCGAACAAGTGAAAACAAATCAAAGAGCGACAATTCCGTAAACCTTAAAATAAGTCGTAAACAATATTTCTCTATTTTAAATACAAACTTGAACTGTTTATTTTTGTCTTAAATTACAATAATACCTAAACACACTTTCTCATTATTGTATAGACCATTCAAAAAATTATAATCTATCAAACCAGAACTTTGATAACCTTTCATCTAAACATAAAAGGAGGTTTGAACTTTTTAAAACTACCTTTTTACTCAAGTTATTTTTGTACCTCTTTGTTATATAAATATTTTATTTATTGTTGTGTAAAAACTGTTGTTTCTCATGTTATCCTTATTCTATGTTTGATGAATACTGAAATTTAATGTCAGAGGAAATTGTTAATTTCATCACGCAGCCTAATTTACTCAACAATTTTGATCAATATAATTTAATCCATTAACACAACGTCCACAAGGACATTTTGAACAACACCACATATAACAATTAAATGACTAGTACATAAAATTTTCATGTGTAATTATACTATGGCGCGAAACTTTGCCTCATCCTATATATATATATATATATATATATATATATATATATATATATATATATATATATACCTGCACTTAATTTAGAAACAAAATTTGTACAATATTCTCTTTATCTCTCATCTCCCGCCACAAATCGTGGTTTAAAGCTAAAACGAAGTGGAAATTATTGAGTGCTTCTTCAATTAGATTCTTACAAGGGAGGAAAACATTTATACATTTGTGTTAACTTTAAGATTGGCCTCCCTGGAAGAAAATGCAAGGGAGATAATTCTGTTTAAATTATTTCTGTTCGTTCTTCATAATTAACCGTTTCACGTTGGTACATTTTTTTTCTATGGTACCGTAAACTTGTATATTATAATGTTTCAATTAACTTTTATCAGATTTTCTTCAGTTGTTTCTACAATCTATCTTTTTTGATATTTTCTTCAAAATGTCAAGATAATTTTTCTTAATCGTAATAAATTTAATAGGTTAATTTAATAGTGATATTATTATTAGTGATTAAGTTTCAAGGACACATAATGAGAAAGGAGAGCCTGGAGAATCTGATACTCACGAGTCGAATAGAGGGAAAGAGAGACCAAGGAAAACAACGTGTGGCATACCTGGCAGGCTTAAGCAGGTGGATGACAGAACATGGTCTGGAGGAGGAAGCAGAGGAAAGCAACTTGTTGAGAGCTGCAAGGGATAGAGAGAGTTGGAGAGCCATGATCACCTACGCCCTGAAAGGACATGACACATAAAAAGAAAGATTAAAATATTGATATTACTGCTACTACTACTAATAATAATAATAATAAACGTTAAGTTTCCCTAATGATTCTGATCAATATGCTTCTTTATTTGATTTACTCCTTACCTCCACTTCTGGCTCTTGTCGAACATCGTAAATCTGTCCTCTTGGCAATTCAGATCACAGTGTAGTATGAGTCATTTATTAGACAGGATCCTCAAGTTCACAAGACATTTTTATGTTACCAGCATACTGATTGAGATTCATTTCATGATTGCTGACATGAAGTGGAAAGATTATATTGAATCAATTGCTAAGGCTGCTGCTCGGAACGTTGGTTCACTGTGTCATGCTAGAGAATTTTTCTCTCCAGAATCTCTTTTACACATTTATATGTCTACCATTCATCCATGCATTGAATATTTCTACCACATGTTGTCTGGAGCTTCAGCTATGTATTTAAAGATTCTTGATAAAATACAAAGAAGAATCTGTAATGTTATTGGTCCTGACTTGGCATCTCGGCCTCAGTCACAGTCAATTTCCCACCACCATAATGTATCTTCCCCATGCTTTTCTATAAATATTTTGATGGTAATTGTTCTAATAAGATATCCTCTTTGGTACATGGACTTTACGAATTTAAGTGCAGTACTAGATTGGCAGCAAAGTTGCATTTTACAGTTGAAATTATTTCATATAACCATGTGTTCTATAGTTTCTTCTTTCGCATTTCTTGCTTGTGGAACTTTCTTCTGGCTTCTTGTCTTCCAGTTAACTTTGATCTTCAAAAATTTCTTTTTTTTAATTTTTACTATCTAAAAATATTTTCTGGCTTTAAATATCCTGCAAATGGGTTGATAAACCGTAGAAAATGAATCAATCAACCATAATTGATTCATTTTCTACAGTTTATCTTTTGCAGTTTATTTATTTAAACCCAGAAAATATTTTTAGATATTAAGAATTTTTTTTTTTTTTTTTGAGATAATAATGGTTTAGTGATACATGTCTCATTAACACATAGCTGGGGGCAAAAGGGATGGATTAATAACTTTTCCCTAGGATACTTGCACACAAGTGAATATAACAATCCAAACAGGAATTGGAACACAGCTCTCCAATTTCCAATTCCAAGCCATTATCCATTGCACATCCAAGCTCTAGAGCAGCACTTCTTAAACTATGGGTCGCGACCCCAAATGTGGTTGCAAATGAAATGCTGGGGTCGGAAAAATTAAATTCAAACACTTGAATTTCATTTTATATGTTATTTCACAAATGCACAATGTTTAACGTTATACACCACGCAACTGCTGCAGTAATGAAATGTACATGCGACATTGTTGTGACAAGTGCGATGACAACATATTTTCAGTGTTGTCGGTTAAAACCTGGGGTCGCAAAAAATCTTTGATGAAAAATGGGTCCATGAATGAAAAAAGTTTAAGAAGCACTGCTTGAGAGCATCTGGTATTCCTAAACTGTCACCCATGTAGGTACTAACCAGGCTCAATGCTGCTTAACTTTGGTGATCATACAGGAACCAGTGTTTCAACTTGATATGGCTGTAAGCATTTTTGTTAATTGTCAGTCCTCTGAAATCCACCATATCGATGCAGGCATCCGCCATGTTTCTCTCCTCTGCCCTACGTTATTCTCTCTGCTTTTAATAATGATCTACCTAAGAACATTCTCATATCATTTCTTCTTCTTTCTATGTGCCATGTCTTTTCATGATATGGGCAACAATGGCTCTCCACTTCCTCCTATCCCTTTGTGGCACTCAACAGTTTCTGCTGACTCCCCCTGACCACGCTCTGCCATCCATCTGTCCAAGCCCACCACATATGTCATGCGCTGCTTTCTCCTGTCTCTTTTTCCCTCTATTAATCCCATGAGTAATCAGATTCTCCAGGCCCTCCTTTCTTATCACGCCCCAAAAATTTCATCTGCCTCCTCCTTATGTTAAGCATAAACTTCCTCCTTGTTTGCATCCTCTCCAAGACCTCATCATTGCTCACATGCTCAGTCCATGCTATCCTCAGCATCCTTCTGTAGAACCACATCTCAACCGCCTCGAGTCTCTTCTTCATCCTTGAGGATACCATCCAACATTTGCTGCTATATAGGAGGACAGATGTCACGTAGCAGTTCAATACCTTTCTTTGTCACCATAGAAACCCTCCTGTCTCACAATACTCTGCCCAGATTTTGGAATGCATCCTTGGCCATCCCAATCCATCTACAGATCTCAGTGTCGCACTGACTGTCCTCCATCAGAACACTTCTTAGATACTTAAACTTCCACACATGTTTGATTCTAGTGTCCCCAACCTGCAAATCGCATTTTGGGCTCATCCTTTTACTGATGACCATGCATTCTGTCTTGTAGTTTATGAGTGAATATATATGCAGACGATACCACAGTTTATGGGCGCACCTCTAAAAATCTAGCCATCTGTCTGATCTATCCCCTGACCTAACTCTAACAGCTTCATACAGAAAGAAAATAGCTTGTAACATATCTCCAATATCAAGCTAGTAATATCATGAAGCAGACCCTGAATTTTCTCTAGTCATGATGAACCATTGTACCTTCAAAAAGGCTCCTTCCCTGCAGACCTCAAGTGGAGCACATATCTGAAAGTATGGGACTCCTTATGTTATGCTCTATCTTTACAAGTCAGATCAGGCCAAAAATGGGGTGTTGCTGCAACCTCTGGGCTGGAACTGCCCATACTCTTTCATGCCCAGTAACCCCTTGCATCCTAGAGGCATTATTGCCTTGCTTTGGGTTGAAATGATTAAAAAAAATTGGCATCAAAAGGACAGTTTTTTCCTTGACACTGCTATTATTTGAACTACCTTCACTCTTCAATGATGTTAAAAAGCAATGATTAGAATTGTAATAGAAACTAAACATGATGAAAGTGAATTTATATATTTTCTTTATTCCTGAGAATTGACAACAAAACTAATGAACACTATTTATTTATTAGATTGTTTATTTACATTATTTAATATATTGTTTATTGGAATGGTTGGCAAAATATCAGCTAATTGGCAGTTGTTTCAAACTTTATAAAATGGTAAATAATAAGGATTTTCTTGTTGTTGGTTCACATATTTTAATAATTTAGTAAATGCTTATGTATTTATGAATATTGTTTTCCGATTTATTTCTTTATAAATTGATAAATGATAAATATTGAATTAGTTTTTATTGTATTAGTTTATGTAAAATTATTCTTGTAAATGTAAAATTCTTGTAGATAATTAAAATAAAAGCAATGTGATAGGAAAAACTGTCCTTTTTAGCATTCCCCTTTTTTTTTTTTTTTTGCAAGGTCTTAATAACTTTTATATTTTTACCATCTCTCCCAAAACCTGCTCCGCCATCCATTCACTCAAGCTCACCAGGTATGTTGTGCATTACTTTCCTCCATCTCACTTACCTTAAATTTGCCCTGCAAGTATTAAATTTTCCAAGCCTGCTTTCTTCATTATGTGCACCAAAAATTTCAACTATCTCTTGCTGATGTTAAGTATAAGTGTCCTTTTTGTTTCCATTATCTTTAGAACTTTGTCGTTACTCACATGTATGGTATTCTCAGCATCCTTCTGTAGAACCACATTTCTGTTGCTTCAAGTCTTTTCTTCATCTGTGAAGAGATTGTCCAGCATTCACTACCATATATGAGGACCGATATTATATAACATTTTCTTTGTTTCTAATGATATTTTCTGTTTCTTAATAGTTTGCTTAGCTTTTTGAAGGCATCTTTCACTATCTGAATGCACTTTCGGATTTCTATATCACACTTTCCATCCTCTGTTAATACACTTCCCAGATATATTGATTTACTTAATTTTTTTTTTTTTTTTTTTACTCAATAAGAGTAGATAGGTTCGCCTATTGTCTGGTTAACAAACCTCTTCAGCTTTTCAAACAGGAGTAAAATTTTATCTCATTTCATATTTAGGATTGCATTTCTGGTCTGTTTTAAAGTTTTCTCATTTCCTTCCACTCTCTAATAGCCCTTTGCATCTTAGTGGCATTATCACTTTGTTTGAGGTAAATTGATTAAAAAAAAAAAAATAAATCCAGCACATTTTAGGTTGCCCAAATTGAACCATTCCAAATTTATGTGATAGACATCATTACAGATGACAAGCGGGTAAACAAACTACTTTTAGACATGTACATTTACTGAACTGCCGAACAAAACAACAAAGATAGCACATTTTTGACAATTGAAAAAAAGAAAATAAATATATAAACTTTTCTTATACATTTTGGGCATGAGCCCACCTTGTCTACCAATGAACATCACTTAACACTGCTAGGTGTTGTTGTATTCAGGACTATATATATAAAAAATTTAAAAAAAATAAAAATCAATCTTCTCTTTGCTCCAGGATGTGGTTGGTTAAAGATGTACTGCCCAGTTTTGAGATGAAAAAACAACAATAATAAGAGGAAGTAAAACATATCAAATGATAATACTATTAAAGAATATAATGTATTTGTAATCAGGTATGAGACATCATCTGTGAAGCATAAATACAGCTGCAGTTTTGAAAATTCCCTTTCGAAGTATAATGACTAAATACAAATTGCAAATCCCTTTGGATTTGCAATTTGTATTTAGTCATTAATTAAAAACTAGACACACAAAACAAATTCAACAAGAAATAACACGTATTCAGGATTAGTATAGCTTTATTCCAATGAATCCAGAAGCAATTTTTACAGATAAGCCTTTTAGTTTATAAGAATGAAAGAAAATCATTTATGATAAAAACAAAAGGCTTAAGTAGAAAATAATCAGCATCATTATCAAGAAAAAAAAAAAAAAAAAGAGGTTTATTTTAACATCTAATTTGAGTCTTTTGAATAAAAATAAGTCTTCATAAGACCTGATTGGGACAAAGGAATTCATGATAGACAATTTCAGTTTAATGATGAGCCCTTCTAGAAAAAATAAATTATACATCAAAATGGAAGTCTTCCTATATAAGTATCACTTACACACCGAGGCACTGCATTTGCTGGTTCCCAGATGTCATGAGTTCCAGCGCCTTACGAGGCTGGCATCCCGCTCTCATCCCTTCACTATCGAAACTCCTAAATGTAGCCGGCTCTTCTACTCTAATAGTTTCATGTCTCGCACCTCTCGCCTGTGGAACTCCCTTCCCTTCTCCTGTTTCCCTGTGAGCTATAATCTCCAGCTAGTCAAGTGTAATGTCAATCGACATCTCCAGTTGCCTTGATCTATCCACTACCCTCATCCTTTCTTCTATCACTTCTATCTGATCTTGCTCTAAATTTTCTGTAACCCCTTGCGTCCTAGTGGCTTCCCGCCTTGCTTGGGGTGAAATGCTTAAAAAAAAAAAAAAAAAAAAAAAAAATTATATATATTATATATAAATGTTCAGAGAAGGAAATAATGTTGGTTAAAGAATCCATTGTTTCCTCAAAAAGTAAGATTTAAAAAAAAAATTGAATTAATAAATTGAAAAATAAAAAATTAATAAAATAAAAGATTCTTAATTAATACATTCAGCCTGTAGAATGTTGGATAGATTTTCAAAATTTATCTCATAAAAAAAAAAAAAAAAAAAATGATTAAATAAAACATTTTGTCTAATCAAATATGGTACCTTAAAATGAGTAACTTTTCATAAATCGTAATGACCAAATTTACATCAATCCTCCTCTATGGTAGGGAATGCCAGACAATCTCCTCACAGAGGAAGAAGAGACTTAAAGCAACAGAAATGTGATTCAACAGAAAGATGCTGAGAATACCATAGACTGAACATATGAGCAACAAAGCTTTACAGAAAATGGAAACAGAACAGCACTTATACTCAGAATCAGAAAAAGACAATTGAAATTTCTAGGACAAATAAAGAGGCAAGAGGACTTGGAGAATATGACACTCACAGGACTTATTGAAGGCAAGAGGAACAGAGGAAAGCAGCGAATAACCTAACTGATGCACTAGTGTAAATGGTTAGTAGAACATGTTTTAGGAGAGATAACAAAAGAACAAACCTTAGGAAGTGCTACAAAGGACAGGAAGTTGTGGAGAGTCATGATCAACCACGTCCTCAAGAGAAACAGCACATAGAAGGCAGGGAGGATACCAAATTTACCAGCATTTATAACAAGCCTCTCCCATCAGTATAACAAGTATGATAAACAGTAGAATACATCAGCAGGTAGGATAGGTTTAAGGCTCCAAGTTCTACACAGAATTATTTTACAGGATACAATAGTGTTGTGTATGATACACCTAATTTACATAAGCGGACTACCGACCATATAAATATGGGTTGGTACCGGAAGACGGGGAAGATAGTAGAGATTAAGAAATTGAATCCAGAGACTCTGCCCGACTGCGATTTAGTCACCCCATTATGCAGGAACAGTCTTCCCAAGAATATACCAAACTAACTGTAAATATTGTGTACCTATTCTTTGTTTCAATACATTTTGTTAACGTACATTTTGTGTTGTATTATTCCATGCTTATTTAAGTTTCAACAATGGCGAATCGCAGTCGGGCAGAGTCTCTGGATTCAATTTCTTAATCTCTACTATCTTCCCCGTCTTCCGGTACCAACCCATATTTATATGGTCGGTAGTCCGCTTATGTAAATTAGGTGTATCATACACAACAAATAGCCTAGTGAATCAAAGTGTTGATTTGTGAATTTAGTGACATAGTAATTGTGAGTTCAGTCCCTGGCCCGGGCAGTGTGTACTTGGACTCAGTGAAAAGAGGGCAAGTAATAACTGAGCAGTACTAAAACTAAGAACTAGACGAGATATCCCTAGACATGCACAGTAGAATTAAATGTCTATCGCCATAAATTAAATAAACAGTTCAGTTCAGGATTCCCTGTAAGTTTACACAGATCGGTAAACACCTGATAAAAGTTGGAGGGTACAATGTCCGAAACATTGTGATAACAATAACAAAGATGAGAACAATTGATTGCTTGTAAATAGTGTAAATGATGATAACTCCTCATTGCAGAAATTGAGGCAGAAAAAAGAATTTGATCAATATTCTGATTAATTCTTAGAATAATAAGAACTCATCTCAAAATTACAGAATGTAAATCATCATTATGTTTTGTATTAACAAAGATATAGAAAACAAGACATTTATTTTTTTTTTCTCTGCATCCAAACGAGATTGTAATACAGTTTCACCAAAATATTTATTGTTAAATTCATTCATTTAATCAGTTAGCACATTTTGTGCCACTGTGGTCACCATTTCCTTTCATCTCACAATTGTGATGACATTGAAGGTAGAATAATGCAAAATGGCTTGCCAGTTACTTTTGAACAGCTGATGCTAAGATTAACCCATCTCTCCTCTCAGAGGTGGATTTGTTTTTTAAGTGACCTTCTTCTAGCCTTTGCCTAAAGAATCAGGACCTACAAGGCAGCAGGTGGTTTGAATTCAGAGTTTCCTTCTCCTAGAATGGTTGCCATTCAAGGCTATAGGACCCAGTCTGACCTGCTATTTTACCCATAGCTGGGGGGATGGATTCAAACCTTTCCCAAGGGTATTAGTACACAAGTGAGTGTAATGAACTCAACTGGAATTCAAACTTGGCAATCCAATTCCTCAATCTAAGCTGCTAACCATTACTCCACCATGCCTCCTGAATTGTTGAATAATGATAGTAAAAAAACAAAAATGAACTCTCTTTTGGACCAGTGTCTTTCTTTACAGAAAGTAAAGCACCACTTGCATTAACAAAGACATAGAAAACAAGATATTTTTTCCCTGTATACAAACAATCCAATTTCACCAAAGCAGTTATTGTTGAATAATGAACTCTCATTTCCTACCATTTGAACCGCTGTCTTTCTTCACAGAAGATAGTATTTGCAGGTCAATAGCTTGAGAAGTTAAGCAACCAAAATTTTTTTTACATATAAAAAAAAATTTAAATAATAAAAAAAAAGCATGATGATTAAAAATCATTTGTTCATTAATAAACCAGTTAACCTAAGTCTCTTTTTTTTTTTTTTTTTTTTTGCTTTTTCATAAATTTATACAAAAATAGATAAAATAAACTGTGAATATTAATTGTAAATTTCTTTTTTTTTAATCCTATATTCCAGGTCCATTAATCACAGCTTCCATCTTTCCACCCATCTCTCCAACGTTCATCAACTTTACTACAGTCAAATTCAGGCTTGCCCAGCAGGATATTGACCCGATTATGTGTATGGCACAGCCATTGTGATAATTTGTGACGAGAGGTTGTATCTGGTTGGTTTGTCTTCAAGCTGAAATGACAAAAGTTCAAATTTTAATGATCTACATTTACAATACAAACTGCTTCAGTACATTTACAAATTCAAAACTGTTTCTTTTTAGTATATAAAACTTGTTACACAGTCAATAGCATTGTACTAATAGTACAATTATTATTATCACATTAATTAAAAATTAAGTCAATTCATTTATTCAAGCATAACAACTGGCCAAAATTTAAAAAAAAAAAAAAAAAAAAGTTATTTGATATTTTAAATTTTACATATTTGAATTAAATGTTATTCTACGGGGTGGTCCAAAAGTCTTGTCATTCATACATAATACATTTTTTCTATTTAAACCCTCTGCGAGGTATTATCAAGGAGAGAGTTTCGCATGAATGATACCAGAATACCTATCAGGTGAAGGAGACAGCTTTGTAAAATATCACACAGAACATGCTGCCGCATCATTTTGTGCCACAAAAATGATGGTGTTCATACAGACCTTCTCGATGTGTGACAGCATCAATGAAAATTAATAAACTGAATCCCGTACACGAGCTTTGTATTACTGTATTACTTGTTCTTCTATTGTTCTCGTTACTTTTTAGTAGGGAGGGGGACAAGATTTTTGGACCACCCTGTATAAATACAATAATAATAGCTGTTCTTAATTGATTTTATCGAAACAAAAAAACCACCTGTGTTATTTGTTTGGTTGTGTAAAGGCATGTTTTGTTGTGAATATGGATTATCTCCTCTTAGATAATCCAAGCTATAAAAGCTGTATACTTCCGCTGTCAAGTCAGATGAGTAGTAGTATTCTTAATTGAATAAACGATTACTAGACAGAATCTCTTGTCCTGTTTTCATTACATTTTATTCAATTAAGAATGGAACAATTTATGCGACCTGAGCGACTTACCACAGATCCAGAAAGCGATTCAGCCGACAAGTGCTGGAAACATTGGCGGAGACATTTACAAATTTCATCGAGGTTCTACATTCAGAAAGACCGGGGCGTCCCATCAATAAGTGTAATGCTCCTAATCAATTACCTGTCTCACACAGTCAACGAAATTATCTCGGATTAGTTACCTACAAAGAAGCAATCGATGTACTGAACACTACATACATAAAACCCCAAAATGAGATATTTTCTAGACACCTACTTGACGACTTCATACACAAGAATCAGGCGAGACATTGGACCATTCCTTAAGAGCCTTCGGACACTGAGCAAAGATTGCAACTTCTGCCCAATGACAGCATTAGAGGCCCAAGAGCTACACATTTTTGGACGCCTTCATTAACGGCTTTACGCAATACTCAGATAAGACAACGTCTTCTTGAGAATAAGACCCTTACACTTAGAACAGCTTACGAGCAAGCCTATATCTTCAAAAGTGCTATACAGCAGTCTAGTTCTTATTTACAGCCAGACACAGTGGGCGCCGCGTTAAACCCACCTGTTCTTACTACCCCCCACCCTCATGACGATAGTCCGACGAAGCTTCAAGAACAATCAGTCACTGCCACTTTAAAAAAGGACACTTGCTATTTTTGCGGCTTATCTAAACACCTACGAGTCTCATGCCCTGCCAGAGATACTCGTTGTCATAAATGTGGAAAACTTGGTCATTTTTCAAAGGTATGCAAGTCTTTTAAAACTCTACACAAAGCCACTCGTCAAAATACTTCTGCAACTTTAGCCGCCTCCCCCGACTGCCTTTCAAAAACTATCGTAAAAGTGAAAATTAACGGGAGGTCTACAAATGCCCTGCTCGATACCGGGAGCTCAGGAAATTTTATCAAAGAAAGCTTGGTAAAAACCAACAAATTGTACTTTTTCCCCTCCCCCAGGAGAGTAACAATGGCAAACGCGTAAGTGGTTATTGTTTGGTGGACTTACTATTTAATGACGTCTCCTATAAAACCACTGAATTATCCGTAATGAAAAACCTTTGTTGCGAAATAATACTGGGACACAATTTTTGCAGCAACACTCACAGGTTGAAATTCCGTTTGGTTCAATGCCGCATTGAAAATTTGTGGATTAGCGACAGCAAAAAAATCCAGTACCGTCACTTTTCGAAAACCTAACTGAAAACTGCAAACCCATAGCAGTGAAAAGCAGACGTTTTTCTTATAATAATAAAAAATTCATTGACTCTGAGATAAAAAGACTACTTGAGGAGGGTATAATTGAGCCTAGCAAATCACCCTGGAGGGCTCAGGTAGTTATAACCACTTCTAGAAACCATAAAAAGAGAATGGTTATAGATTACTCCCAAACCATAAATAGATTTACTCTTTTGGACGCCTTCCCACTACCCAGGATAGATGAAATGATAGGCAAAATAGCCAAATATCGTATGTTTAGCACTCTGGACTTGAAAAGCGCGTACCATCAGATCGCCATTAGAACTAGAGACAAGCCATACACTGCTTTTGAGGCGAGCGGTCGACTATATCAATTTCGCAGGATTCCTTTTGGCGTTAACGAATGGGGTAGCCAACTTCAAAGGATAGTCGACCAAATCATAACGGATGAGAAACTGGAAGGCACATTTGCGTACATCGACAACGTCACAGTATGTGGCCATAATAGAAAGGAACACAAACGAAAATCCCAGATGGTTCATGTCCGCCATCGATAAATACAACCTTACCCTAAACGACGACAAATGCTCATTTGGACTGGACAAAATAAACCTACTGGGGTATACCATAAGCAAAGGTTTTATGGCACGGACGAGATCGATTGAAACCTTTACTCCAGATGCCTGTCCCTCACAACCAGCCTTCCCTTGACGTGCTATGGGCATGTTTGCTCATTACTCTCAATGGATTGCTTCGTTCTCAGAAAAGATACATCCATTAACACAAGTAGAGACGTTTCCTCTGTCCCATCAAGCCGTTGAGGCATTCGAGGGACTGAAAAAGGATATTGCAAAATCTGCAATTACAACAATAGACCAAAATATTCCTCTGGTTGTTGAAACGGATCGTCAGACTGTGCTATTGCTGCTTCTTTGAAACAAGCTGATCGTCCTGTAGCCTTCTTTTCAAGGACCCTCTCACAGGCTGAATAACGACACCCCGCAATTGAAAAGGAAGCCTACGCCATAGTCGAGGCATTAAGAAAATGGTGACACTACCTGATCGGACGCCACTTTAAACTTATTACTGACCAGAAATCAGTTGCTTTTATGTTCAACTCTAAGACTACGAGTAAAATAAAGAACGAGAAAATAGCGAGGTGGAGAATTGAGCTATCTTGTTTCTCCTTTGACGTCAACTACCGACCTGGCAAGGAGAACTTAACAGCTGATACACTGTCAAGAGCATGCTGTACGGCATCAAGCGGGGACGAACTCCGAACGCTACATAACAATCTCTGTCACCCGGGCATCACTCGAATGGTTCATGCTGTGAGGTGTAGAAACTTGCCTTTATCAGTGGAGGAGGTAAAAAGAATTACAAATTCTTGTCGAACGTGTGCTGAAATAAAGCCTCGGTTTTATAAACCCCAAACTGGCATTTTAATAAAAGCAACACAACCGTTTGAAAGACTCAATCTTGATTTTAAAGGACCGCTACCAAGTAAAACAAGGAACAGATATATATTAACGGTTATCGATGAATATTCACGGTTTCCTTTTTGCCTTCCCTTGTTCAGACATATCGGCTGCTGCAATTATACAATGCCTCTGCTCACTATTCGCCATCTTTGGAGCCCCTGCCTATATACATTCGGACCGAGGGCTTCTTTCATGTCAGAGCAGCTTGGCAATTTCTACAGGAATGAGGAGTAGCTATAAGCGGACAACTCCCTACAACCCTAAGGGTAACGGCCAATGCGAAAGATATAACGGCATTATTTGGAAGACCATTCAATTGGCTGCCTCAAATAACGGATGTTTAATTGATAATTGGGAAAATCTCCTTCCTGTCGCATTATCGCCATTCGTTCCCTATTGTGTGTACTGCCACGAATGCCACCCACGAAAAGGTTTCTACCTTTTCAGCGACGGAGTTCGGCGGAGCTTCACTCCCATCTTGGCTCTCTCGACCCGGTACTGTGTTTCTGAGGCGACATTCACGTTACACCAAGAACGATCCCTTGGTGGACGAGGTAGAACTTATAGAGGCGAACCCTCAGTACATGCTAGTACGACATGCAGATGGTAGAGAGTCTAATGTGTCTCTCAGGGACCTAGCACCGGCCGGAAACGTACCCAGATCGTGGATAGCCCCTGAGGACAGACCAACTACCCCTGACACTGAAGCCCCTCCGGAAGATCATGGCACTGAAATTGTTCCTGGCACGCCGTCTGATGACACTGTCTCCGTTGAGGCCCCGTCAGACACTTCGGATGGGCCAACACCTGAAACTCTGACAGATGAAGGGCTAGCACCGAATAAACGTGTTCATCCAGAGACTGACTCTGACGCGGAACGGCCTGCTCCTCTGAGAAGGAAACATTTCAGAGCAAGGTATTTTACAGCCCACAGACAGGCTCGCACTGAAGAGCCTCCCTGTTCGAGTACTCCGACCACGAATCATGGACTGCCGAGGCGGCCACTGCGAACTCGTAGGGAGCCTGGACATTTAAGGGACTTTCTTCCCTATCAGTGAGAAATTTGGTTGGGGAGAATGTTGTGAATATGGATTATCTCCTCTTAGATAATCCACGCTATAAAAGCTGTATTCTTCCGCTGTCAAGTCAGATGAGTAGTAGTATTCTTAATTGAATAAACGATTACTAGACAGAATCTCTTGTCCTGTTTTCATTACATGTTTGTCAATACTTTAAACATGAGCATTCAAACATGAGAGAAAAATGAATAATGGACAATGGTTATTGTCTACTTTGCTTGGCTAAAAATATGACACATCAAGTAACTCTATTGCTATATAACCCGTAAACAGAAAGCGATTATCTCCCTTAGATTACAAGGCTCTGCATTTTTTTTCTACATGTATGTAATTTTCAATTTCTTTCCACGGATAAATTCAAGAAAAA